AAAATCTTTCTGATCAAAATGTTCTGACTTGAAATTTATTCAACTTTTTGATTTTTTTTTTTGTTGAAAAATGTCAAGAACCATTCTTTTTGGTTTGACCCCAAACAATTTATTTTAATTGCCAACAAACTGAAAAATCTGTTATTAACCCACCAGCTGCCTGGGGGCGTAACTTAACAAGGAACTGACCTGTTGAGCTCAGTAGCAGAGGATGGATCTAGTGTAGGATTGGAATGTGAGGGGCAAGACCAGTGCTGAAGCTGAGGGAGCAGAGAAAGAGAAGAGCACCAGCAAAGAGAGAAAAGCAGGGAGGGATGGCTCCAGCAGTAACTAATGAGGCAGCCAGGTGACAGAGGAGAAGGAGGTAGTTTGGAGCAGAGCAGCATTGCTCATGTCCATCCTGGATAGGCTACCAGCTGATGTCCGTGTAAACGGAAATGGATAATCTTCCCCCATCCCAGAAACCAAAGAAAGGGTTAGGTATTGAAAGATGCACTGGAGCTTATGGCCATAATCTGTAATATTTTGGGAGGGCTCTCATATTTAGTCATGCCCCCAGCCTCTGATTTTTCTGATGTTCTCCTTCTGTCTAGTCCCAAAAGATGTCTTTTAGTTCAGATGTGTAATTTGATGGTAAAACAAACAGACCTCAATCTTTTTCCGGAAATGAATTTCTCAAACTGAGTTTCCTTGGACATGGCCCAAGTTGCTAAATTGCTGTAATTAATAAGCTAAAGCCTACTGAACGTTCACTTGTCCTACACAGGTGGCAAGCTGTGTATTTAATATTTTTATTTTCTTGTTCTTGGGTTCTTTTATAAATAAGCAAGGTTTAAAACACCAGGTGGGTCTTTGAGCATTTGTCCACACAGATCCCATTGTAGGATGTGTGCTCCCATGCATGCAAGCCCAGAGTCTTTTAGCCAGCAGTGTCCTTTGGGGCTGTGCGTGTGCCCTGCACACCCTGGCACCCCAGAATAAGGGTATAAAGGGCGAAGCAGCCCCCACCATTTCCTGCCACCCATAGTAGCTAGTCAGAGTCTCTGTGTCCTCTTACTTTTGGATAGGATTAGGATTTTATAGTTGGTTAGTCTTGTTAAGTTTAATTAAAGTACATTGGATTTTTAAAAAATACTTTTTCTTGTTTCTTCTGAGTCTCATCTTGGTATCGAGGAGTAGGTGTGGTGGCTGAGAATAGGTCTCCTGGCTTTTAAAATCTCCCTGCCTGAGACAGCTATGCCTATGAAATGTTTCTTGTTTTGGGGCATTTCCTACCTTAAACAAGCGCTCTATTTGTAACTTTTTTTGAAGTGCATTCAGAAGGCTCATGATGTCTCCTTGAAGCTGTTTCTGATGGAAAAGGGAATGAGAAGTCTCTCTGACTCCGAGGATCCTCCTCAGAAGCAGTCTGCTCCTGCCTCAAAGCTGGGTTCAGCTAATGCTCTGGCTACAAGAGACGCTACTTGGGGTGCCAAGAGCTCTAAAAGGTGTCATGCTTCCTTGAAACACTCTGAGCCTTTTCATCAGTCCTCTTCAGCTCAGTCAGTGGCTGCTACTGCCCAAGGTAGAAGGGACAAAAAAATCTCTGGATGGGCCTTGGCACCAATGGCTGTCCCTAGTCCTGGCCCAGAGGAAGGCTCAATTTCATCATGCCTCCAACTTATCCAAGCATGCTCCTTTGAAGTTGCAGCTGTACTTCGAGTTTTCAAAGACTGTGAGATCCCATTTTTCAGCTGCTATACCACATCCTCTGTCTTCGGTGACTGACTGCTTTCTTGCTACTGTTGGCATTGATACTCTCCTTTAGCAGGGAGCTATAGAGAAGATGCCTCCAGAGTTCTGCAGCAGGGAGTTCTATTCCCACTACTTCCTCACCCCAAAGAAAAGAGAAGGATGGATGGTGTCCAGTTTTAGATCACAGGTGTCTCAACAAATTCATGTCAAGTTTCAGATCACCCTTTCTTATAACATCTCCCTCCCCCCCCCTCCTTACAGCCCATGAATTGGTTTGCAACTCTACTGGCAGGACACCTGTGCATGAATCTATCCTGCTCACCAAAAGTATGTGTTTCGTGGTCAGTGGACTCCACTACCAGTTCAGAGTCCTACTGTTTAGCCCTTCAACAGCTCTGAGGGTGTTTACCAAATACTTGGCTCTGGGAGCAGCTCAGCCAGGCAGAGAAGTCCTCCATATATATTTCTATCTTGATTGGCTGATTTGAGGCCCCTCATTGCAGCAGATCAGCAAGGATGTTCTCACAGTTCTACAGCCATTTTCCAGACTGGGCCTCAGGGTCAATTGAGAAAAGTCTCCTCTCTCCCCATTCATCCATAGAATTTATAGGGGCTGTTCTCCACTTCCACTTAGCAGGAGCATACCTTCAAAGATTTTTTTTCCATAATGAATCGCATCAGTTCATGTATTCAGTCTCATCCAGGAACCACGCTGACCGTCTGACTCAATTGTCTAGGTTATATGGTAGTTTATACTTATGTGACTCTCTCATGGTTGTCTTTGGCCTCCTTTGGGGTTGGTTAAGGATGTTCATCCACCAGCCAAACATGGTATGAACGTCCCTCTAGAAGTTCCTCTGTAATACTGTCATACCTACTTTAGTGGACAGACCCTCAAAACATCCATCTGGGTACTCTGTTTCATTCACTATCTCCTTCAAAGACTCTGAAAAATGCATCCAATCAAGCAGTGCACATTTGGACACATTGGACTCTCTCCAGATACATTGGAGTGCACATTTGGAGACTCTCCAGATACAGGGCTCATATAATTGGACAGTCTCAATTATACATAAATGTATTAGAGCTCATGGCCTTTCAGCTGGCTTGCAAGGTGTTCCTGCTTCTCCTTCAAGGTACTGCTGCTCCAATCCGGATGGATTATATCCTGGCTATGAATTATATAAACAGACGGGGGAGAAAGATTATCCCCCTTACGTCAGGAAGCAACACATCCGTGGGATTGGTGCATTCTGCATCAGAGTAATCTAATAGCCCTGTGGAAGATCAGCTAAGCAGAAGAGTTCCTTCACTCATAAATGGGTGTTAAAAGACTGTTCTAGAGAAAATATTCCTAAGGTGGGGAGTTGCTCAATAGACCTGTTTGCTACCAACATGAAATGTCCAGTGTTCTGCTGATGAGACATAAGACCAGGGTCTGTGGCAGATGTATTTCTGGTTCAGTGGGAAAATAACTTGCTTATGTCATAGTCTTCCCATTCTGCTAATTCTCAGTCCTCAGAAGGACATGCCAGTTCAAGTATTCTGATCTGATACATCTGTCAATCAGGCCATCTCTTCAACTTCCCCAAACTCCTCCATGTTTATCAGAACCAAGGCCTGGTGCTGCACCCATGCATTTGACAGCATGGAGGCTACCTGGTCAAATTTCAGTGGACAGAAGCTGCTTAGCAGCTGTATGGGAGGTTTTGATACATAGCAGAAGGGCCTGTGTTAGAAAGACATGCCAAGTTAAGGGGAAACATTTCTCACTGCTGTCCCATTCAGAGACCTCTTCAGCCTGTGGAATCTTCTATTCCATCTATCTTGAACTAATGTTTCAAATACATGATTGCTTAGTTCTAATAGAGTTCATCTGGCTAATATATTCCTCTGTCACTCAACTGAGAGTTACTCAATTTCCTCCCCCCACCTAATGGTATCTGGAGGTTTTATTTTTTTATTTTTATTTTAAAGGTCCTAATTCATACATTTCCATCAGTGAGGCATAGTTACCTGTCAGGAGCACCACATTCAAGCCCCAATCATAGATGTACCCACCCTTTGAACCCAGGTTGTAATATTTACTATGTTCCCTTTCTGTTAAAATGGCATCAGCTTGGCTCAGAAGGTGAGTGAAATTTCAGACTATGATGTCAAGTCCTCCATTAGTTCGTTTTCATAAAGACAGTTAGACTCAGGCCATATCCAACATTTTTATGGAAAGTGGTTTTGGATTTTCATATAAATCAATTTACACATTTTCCGTAAACCACATGATTCTTCTGCTGAGGTTAAACTCCACAAACTAGACCTCCTTAGGGCTATTCTCTTTATCTTTCCAGTACAAAGCCATTTCATAAAGCATCCAGGCTCTTTTTGCTTTTGTGATAAGTCTCAAGGGCAGGCTGTTTCTCTTAAAGATCTCTAAATGGGTTACAGACTGCATAAGATTTTCCTACTCCATTAGATAAACTTCTTCCTTCTTGAGTCAGGGCACACTCTGCTAGGCTCCATCAACCTCCATAGTTGCTTTAGGTGACGCACACGCGCGCGCGCACACACACACACACCCCATTTGAGACTTGTAAGGCAACTATATGGAGTTCGGTACATATGTTTATCTATTACTACTCCATTGTGACAGCTTCTAGCTCAGATTCACGGTTTGGAAGGGCTCTCCTACTGTCATTATTTAGATCCCCTCAAGGTGGGCAGTAGAAGTGCTAACTGCTAGTCACTCATCTACAATGGAGTCTGCATAGACAAATGCTTGAAAAAAGAGGTTACTTAACTTTCAGTAACTGGAATTCTCGGAGATGGTTTTGTCCACACATCTTGTGACTTGCCTCTCTTGCCTGGATATTCTGTAATAGTGAAGAAATTAAGTGGTGGTTGGTTGGGGTGCTTTGCCCTTTATAGGGTGCATAAGAGCACACAGGTGAATGCACAGCCCCAAGGGACACTGCTGTCCAGAATATTCCAGGCTTGTGCGTACATCTGCTTTTGTTCATAGATCTCACTACAGTCTCAAAGAACTTCAGTTACTGTAAGTGATCATTCTTTTGCCCTTATGCTGCTGATCATTCTGAAAGTGATACATAGATTAGCCCTCTGTAAAGAACATTAAATTGTAGATTGACCCTCTGTAGAGATCATGAAAGCATCTGGTATAACTTTTGAAAATGTAGATTGTTAAGATTCTGTGAATGCACAAATGGCATCAGGCTTGAATGGCTTGTATTGAGACTGTCCTGTGTCTACAGTTACAGAGGAGAAAAAGTCCTTGAAGCGGACGTTTCAGCAGATACAAGAGGAAGAAGATGAGGATTACCCTGGGAGCTACTCGCCCCAGGACCCCAGCACTGGGCCATTACTGGTATGTTTGGAGGGCTAAGGATCTGTGAAATTGTGAAAGGTGACCTCTTATAAAGACACAGCCACAAGGTGGAGCCATTAACAAGTAAAATATAATTAATGGAGAAATACAATTTACGCTTGGGAAGCCAATGTGTAGCAGAACAGTTTTATTAAACCCCTGGGTTGTCTGTTTTGTAGTGGGCAAGAGGAAGGGATCATAGATGCATTCTGGTGTGAATGCCATTCCAAAAGTTATCCTTAACAATAAAAACCTGGGTAGGTGTGACTTAATCTAGACCGAGCCAAGGCCCTTGCACTACTGCCAGTGTGTCTTGTTTTTTGTTTCCTTTTTTTAAAGGAAAAAAAAGAAGATATATGTAAAAAGCTTTTTATATATTGACTCATGAACTCTCAAATCCAGTGCATGAACATTGACTCAAGAAATTTCATTTGGGTTTCAAGTAGAGTACAGCCTGACAAAGAAACCAACAGCAAGTTCTATATACCCTGTAGCTGCAAAAGATCAGCATTAAATAGATTTATATGGAGTTGGAAACTAAAGTCAGTTGAGAAGATTTGAACCTTTGTTTGAGACTGGCTGGAGTGTAGCGTTAATGACACGGAGATAACAGAAATGAAATAGACACTATAATCAAAACTCTTCTCTTTAAGGCTACAGTTGGCCTTTTGTTAAATCTGTGGCTATTTGAAGGAAGGTGAAGAGTTAAACAGTCTGCCAGATGGGTGGCGTAAATACTACCAAATTACATGAGCCGAGGAAATGAGAGCTTTTACTGCAGATCGCTTACAGCTTTTGGCTTGTTTTAACACACGTTTAATTTGTCACTTATTGGAAATCATTATGTAGCTTACAAGGAAGTATGTATGTCAAGCAGACAGTGAACATCTTCTGGTTCTTCAAACCAGCATAAACGTTGAAAGGGTGTGTGTTAAGAAATTTGTGTATTTTTATAACAAAAGTTTTGAATGTGTACCTAAAAAATTAATTACTGAAAGTGGAGGATAAAAATCAGCACTACAAAATTAGCCTAGCTAATGCCAGCAAAATCATCAAATCCTTGAATGCTTTTTAAAACAAAATAAAACTGAATATTTGAGGTTTTCCTGCTTAACGTCTCGCTCCTATTAATGCTATCACTCAGATTCTCCTTTTGACTAGGTTAGTAAAAGCAACGTGGGTATGGTCAGTTGCACTGGTGGGTCTTTCTCAGTGGCCATTCCACTTGCTGATTGTTAACATCAGAATGGCCATACTGGGTCAGAGCAAAGGTCAGTCTGGCCGCAGTCGGCAGACAGGATACTGGGCTAATGCCAGGTGCCCCAGAGGGAATGAACAGAACAGGGAATCAAGTGATCCATCCCCTGTTGCCCATTCCTAGCTTCTGGTAAACAGAGGCTAGGGACATTATCCCTGTCATCCTGGCTAATAGCCATTGATGGACCTATCCTCCAGGAATTTATCTAATTCTTTTGGCCTTCACAATATCCTCTGGCAAGGAGTTCCACAGGTTGACTGTGTTGTGTAAAGAAATACTTCCTTGTTTGTTTTAAACCTGCTGCCTATTAATTTCATTTGGTGGTCCCTAGTTCTTGTGTATGAGAAGGAGTAAATAACTCTTCCTTATTTACTTTCTCCGCCCCAGTCATGATTTTGTAGACCTCTATCATATCCTTCCTGAGTCATCTCTTTACCAAGCTGAAAAGTCCTAGGCTTATTCATCTCTCCTCACACAGAAGCTGTTCCATACTCCTAATAATTTTAGGATGATTTCTGAACCTTTTCCAAGTCCAATATATCTTTTTTGAGATGGGGCGACCACATCAGCACACAGTATTCAAGATGTGGGTGTACCATAGATTTATATAGAGGTAATATGATATTTTCTGTCTTATCTGTCCCTTTCTTCATGATTCCCAACATTGTTAGCTATTTTGACTGCTGCTGCACATTGAGTGGATGTTTTCAGAGAACTGTCCCCAGTGACTGTAAGATCTTTGAGTGGTAACAGCTAATTTAGACCCCATCATTTAATATGTATAGTTTGGATGATGTTTTCCAATGTGCATTACTTTGCATTTATCAATGTTGAATTTCAGACCATTCTGTTGCCCAGTCACTCACTTTTATTGCAAAGAACTAAATAAAACTGGCAGAACAGGATTCATGGAGTACAATATCAGTCAATTATATTGCAATTATATTCCCAAAGAATCAGTTGAGCTAGTGAAGGAATGGCAATGGCTTTAAAGTCTGCTTTAAAAGGGATGCTCTTTAGCTGGGGCCAAGTGAGTATGTGGTGCTTAACTAGGTGTTATTAAATAAACTAGACTTTCTGAACCTTTTGGATTTATAAAATGTGCCCTCTCCACATTATCCCAAGGTGCATGCACGCTGTTGGATAAATTTGCATGTAAATTTGCCTCTTGGTCAAGGCAAAATAAAAAACAATCCTCTAAGGCAAAATATTGAGATGAAAAGAAATAGACGAAATGCGGAAGTGAAATGTAAAGAATATTTTTATTCCTCTAATCTGCATAGTGTTGTCGTCCATCTTTTCAGACTTGTTTTTAAATGTCCTCTTCTCTTAATTGGATGAATGTCCACTGCAATGTACCAGTTAAGATAATTGTATTGGACTTATGCAAAAGTCCATAGTTTTTTGGTTATTTTAGAGTTTTGTGAATACTGTGGACAGCTACTTGCTGCAGTACTGAGTGTAAGGAGAAAGTAGGACACTAAAGAGCACTTTAAAAGGTAAGTGATTCAGCCTGTAGTGCGATGACAATAGCTAGAGAAAATGGCTTAGCAGTAGTCCTGTTTAGAACTTGGCAGTGCTGCAGTTACCTGCGACTCCATTTGAAAACTGTCTGTTTTTTGTCTTTCCATCCTGCAGACTGAGGACTTGATCAAAGCCCTGCAGGACCTGGAAAATGCAGCATCAGGAGATGCCACAGTGCGGCAGAAAATTGCCTCGCTGCCACAAGAAGTTCAAGATGTGTCACTGCTGGAGAAAATTACAGGTAAGAAGCTAGAAGATGAATGAAAATGAGCGTAGAGGGATTTGACTTTCAAGACTATAATGAGCAGGATGGATGCACCTCATGCCCTTTATGCCTGCTAGCTTTATAGCTCCCTAACAGTTAGCAGGTAACAATCTTCTGGCATGCGGTTGGAGGTAAGATTTATATCTCTCCTTCCATTCCTTGGGCCCAAACCAAAATGTGTTTACAAGGATTTTTATACTTGGAGAGCCTGTATTCACTGTCCTTTCCTCAACCAACTTCTGACGGCTTCATTTTGTAGTTCTGAAAAGAAACTAGAGCCAGAATATTCAAACTGGGGTGCTGAAAGTTAAGCATTAAATATATATTTATGTATTTTAAGTGGCCTGATTTCTCTCTCTTCTTCCCCACCCCCCGAGCTGAGTACCTGCATCTCCCTTTGACTGCAATAGGAAGTGGATGCTCAGATGTGCTGACCATGTATATGTGGGTGCATATAAATGTATGCACCCATGTTTGAACAATATTTGCTTAAGAACCTGGGAGCACATGCAAACAGAATTGATTTTGACTCTTGCTTTTGAAAGTATTCCTAACTTTTAATTTTAGAATTCTATGAGGACTACCACTTATTCAACTCTTTGTAGTGTGTGCTCATCATGTCCAGCTGTGAGAAGGACAAGTGTGTATTTATGTGTAAGCTTGTGTTCTGTGTGTTGATAAATATTCACAGGCATAAGGTCCATCATACAGTGCACATCTTGCATAAATGCTAGGGCCCCATGATGTGACAGAACACATTCTGTTAATGTAAGCTAATAGTCTAGTATAATAGCTCATAAAAGATCCACAGAAACAACTTCTAAGGGAGTGTGAGCACAGTTGTGGCGCGGCAGCTGTACCAGCATGGCTCTGTAGTGTAGATTCTTCCTTCAGCAACAGGAGGGGTTTTTCCCATCAGTGTAGTTAATCCTCCTCTCCAGGAGGCAGTAGTGTAGTTGACAGAAAAAATCTTCTCTCAACCTAACTGCATCTACAGGGGGTTAGGTCAACCTCACTGTAGCACTCAGGGTATGAATTATTTTGCATTCCTGAGTGACGTAGCTAGGTTGAGCTAGTTTTTAAGTGTAGCTCAGAACTCACTGTTGGATCTGCAAGACTAAAAATGTGACCATCTGGTTCTGTGTTTAAAATCTTCCGTTTTCAGGTTGTTAGTCTTAGCAATTTTTGGGTGCCCCTTAAATCTCTTGATTACAACTATTTTCTTTTAACCCCTGGATAACTCTTGTGAATAAAATGTTGTGCATGTGGTGGTTGGATTAGAGCCTTTTTTCAAAGCATAAAAGGGTTTTAGCTGAGTCCATGTACATTTTTACCACCTTTGCATGTAGACAAAGAGGCAGCAGAACGTCTTTCGAAAACGGTGGATGAAGCATGTTTGTTACTAGCCGAATATAATGGGCGGCTGGCAGCAGAGTTGGAAGACCGACGCCAGCTGGCACGCATGCTGATTGAGTACACCCAGAACCAGAAGGATGTATTGACAGAGAAAGAGAAAAAGTTAGAAGTGAGTACTGCTCAGAGCAATGCTGAAATCTTATCCTCCTACCAAACACACATACTTTGCCTTCAAAATTTAAACATTTTTTTCTTTTAAATGAGAATGATGTAAGGTAATGTAGCAATTTAGTTCTCCCTGGAGCACTCTGCTGTTGAAAGAAAACAGGACTGAGGAAAAAATATTTTCTGTGAATAAATAAATTAAAAACCGTGAACTGCTGAACTCAGATGTCCAGCACAAAAGTAGATGGAGAAGGAAGCACTAGAACTTAAATATATTTTTTGAGAGAGACTGTTTTATCATCAAACATTTTTGATGTTCAGTCCAGGTTCATGTCAGGGTTTGTTCTTGAATGAAATCCCTATCCCCCCCCAAAAAATCAAGTGTCCATGTTACTCCTTCCTGCAAATAACTGATGCTTTTTGTATATTTTGTGTGTAGTTGGTTGCTGCTTGTCTGGCTTGAAGGTCCTATTTGCTGAGCTGACTTGTCAAGTGTGTGTTTTAGTACTGCCAACCCTGCTTAACCAAAAAATGGTGATGCTTTTAATTGGATTTACGTGCAGTGCTTACATGAAGGAACAGGTAGTGGTGATGTAGAAAGATGACAACTCAGACTTCATGCCGTAGCCAGCTTGAACTTGGAGGGCAAGAAACTGCTGTAAAAATAATACTGTCTGACTGGAACTCAGTAGTGACCAGAAACCCCAGAGTGAGTACATGGGGAACAGCAGACGGTCGTTTATCTGAAATGTTCTTCTTTCACTGAGGAAGTGTTTTCAGCACCATGTCATAGGACTAATATGGCAGTTTAATTAATGATTCTGGTTGTATGTCACTTTGCCATCTGTTGAACTGCCCCTTGGCGACACATTATGGGCTTCCTCTACACTGTCGGATGCTGATTATTATGAGCAGCTGCTGTTGGGTGGGACATGAGTTACAGAGGACATAGTCTCCTAGAAGGAGACTGGATTATAGAGCATTTCAACCCTTTGTGTGCCCTCTTTCCATCACAACTTGTCTTCTGTCCTGGAATGTTAGGCAGTACTCTTAACTTGTACTCTGTTTTGGCCATGGGTTTTCCTCCTATGTCTATACATAGTAACTTGAGTACATACTGTACATTATCCATCCAGAGTTTAAAAATCATCTAGAAGATTTAGGACTGTTGCATTCAAAAAATCTAAAGATTGTTAGGCTTTAACTATCTATCTAGTAAATTTATTTGGTCTCCGGAAGCTGATTTGAGAGTTGAGTTTATGGTGGTTTTCCTATAGTTGGTTCATTTATAAAGCACTTTAGATATCATGAGTACAGAAGAAGCCATAAAAACGGCTTTCTGGCATCCGTTACTTTATTTACGGAAAATAACAATAGAAACCTTGGGTCAGATTCATCTTTCACTGAAGTCAGTGATAAAACTCCAGTTCAATTCTGCAGGAAGGGGATTGTGAGCCCCTCCCATCTCTTAACTGCTTTAATGGCACCTACAGTAAAAAGCAGAATGCCTCCGCGTGCATTTTAAAAATCCTAGATTTTGAATCAGCTTTAGTTGTTGTAAAACTAATTTGGAAACTTGTGCTATAGCAACTTTAGTCTAAAGTTTATAATAAACTAAATTATAAATGCTGTGGGTTTTGTTTGCTTTTGAAATGACACTTCTGATAAGGTCTCTTATGTGAAAGTTAGCAAACTGCTATAGGCCAAAATAATGAAAGTTCAAGCACTGAGCCTTCAAACAGGGAAGCTGGTATGTAATTTAATTCACATAAATAGTCCCATTGACTTCAGTGGGACTAGTCATATGCTTGACTTCAGCATGTGCAAAAGTGCTTGACGTATTATGGACTAAACCTGTGTTTTATTAAAAATGTCTCTTAATGGCATGAAATCTTTGTCAGTTCAGAACACAGTCGCCTCATTAACAATGAAAAATTAGACTTCTAGCATACTCTCACAGTATACCACCAGGCCAAAACTTAAAAAACCCCAGGAGTCTTAAATTAAGCACCTAAGTGTGGAATTTTCAAAAGCAGTTAAGTGACATAGAAGCACAAGTCACGTTGACGTTGTGCTGCAAACCCTTTGGGGTATAGTCGACAAGCATTTCAGCTTTCCTGACTTGTGGAAGTTTAACATATTGGAGGATTTTGTTGGTTGCAAATGCAGCCCAGGCTATATGCTTATCAGTTTTGTGTTTGAGTTTCTGGTGTTCTCAAGTAACAATGTTAATGAGACCCTGGGTTTATCTCGTTCAGCATAGATGGGCGTTTTAAGTGTGTAATCCCTTAACAGAAAAAGTTGAAATTCTAATAGGATACTAAAGAAACAAGGACAAAACATCCACTCTAGAATTTAAGTCTATAAAATAAGAAGAAAGTAAAGAACTAGCAACATGTAAATACTCAGATTTAAATTAAAAAAATCATGATTCTTTTTTTATCTATCCCGTTCTTAGTACTTCTCCATGACATGTTGTGCTCCATCATGATCTTTTTTCCAAATATTTCAATTGCTAGCTGTATGTGTTTACAAAAACAAACCTGGCTTTCAGCTGAGATGCATTTAGAAGCAAAGTTCTGTTTTGAACTGTTTACTTCATTCACTTTTCTGGTCAAAGTGACTGAGAGGAGAGAAAGTAGGCTCTTTGTTGGTAATATGAACCAGGATTTCATTCTGTCGAGTCATGAAGTGCCAGTGTCTGATCAAAAATTGTAAATCATTGTGGACCTTCAAGGTACTGGGGTTGCACACACAAGTAACTCTTTCTCTGAGATAGTAATAAAAATAGCTAAGCCCCGTGTCTGAGAAGGGAACTTTTCTGTCTAAACACTGGAGTTCTTATTTAATTTAAATAGTCCAATACTACTGCCTTTCATCAACCATGGCAAATTCTACAAACAAACATTTAGGCTGAGTGGGAGTATTTACTCATAGTAGGCTATTACTCAAGAGATTTTGAAAAGTCCAGGGTGCCAAAAGCTCTTACCGTCCTCAGTCACACACAATCCTTTCATCAAGACAGGATATATTAAAAAACAAATCAGGCTAACCTAGTGAGGAGGGCTTTAAACTAGGTTCACCGGGGGAAGGAGACCAAAGCCCTGAGGTAAGTGGGAAAGCGGGATACCGGGAGGAAGCACAGGCAGGAATGTCTGTGAGGGGAGGGCTCCTGCCTCAACCTGTTGATCGCCCTTCATTCCCAGTATATCTCAAGTGCTTATATACAAATGCACAAAGCCTTGGAAACAAGCAGGGAGAACTGGAGGTCCTGGTGATGTCAAGGAACTATGACGTGATCGGAATAACAGAGACTTGGTGGGATAACTCACATGACTGGAGTACTGTCATGGATGGTTATAAACTGTTCAGGAAGGACTGGCAGGGCAGAAAAGGTGGGGGAGTAGCACTGTATGTAAGGGAGCAGTATGACTGCTCAGAGCTCCGGTACGAAACTGCAGAAAAACCTGAGTGTCTCTGGATTAAGTTTAGAAGTGTGTGCAACAAGAGTGATGTAGTGGTGGGAGTCTGCTATAGACCACCGGACCAGGGGGATGAGGTAGATGAGGCTTTCTTCCAGCAGCTCACGGAAGCTACTAGATCGCATGCCCTGATTCTCATGGGTGACTTTAATTTTCCTGATATCTGCTGGGAGAGCAATACAGCGGTGCATAGACAATCCAGGAAGTTTTTGGAAAGCGTAGGGGACAATTTCCTGGCGCAAGTGCTAGAGGAGCCAACTAGGGGGGGCGCTTTTCTTGACCTGCTGCTCACAAACCGGGTAGAATTAGTAGGGGAAGCAAAAGTGGATGGGAATCTGGGAGGCAGTGACCATGAGTTGGTTGAGTTCAGGATCCTGACGCAGGGAAGAAAGGTAAGCAGCAGGATACGGACCCTGGACTTCAGAAAAGCAGACTTCGACTCCCTCAGGGAACGGATGGCCAGGATCCCCTGGGGGACTAACTTGAAGGGGAAAGGAGTCCAGGAGAGCTGGCTGTATTTCAAGGAATCCCTGTTGAGGTTACAGGGACAAACCATCCCGATGAGTCGAAAGAATAGTAAATATGGCAGGCGACCAGCTTGGCTTAATGGTGAAATCCTAGTGGATCTTAAACATAAAGAAGAAGCTTACAAGAAGTGTAAGGTTGGACATATGACCAGGGAAGAGTATAAAAATATTGCTCGGGCATGTAGGAATGATATCAGGAGGGCCAAATAGCACCTGGAGCTGCAGCTAGCCAGAGATGTTAGGAGTAACAAGAAGGGTTTCTTCAGGTATGTTGGCAACAAGAAGAAAGCCAAGGAAAGTGTGGGCCCCTTACTGAATGAGGGAGGCAACCTAGTGACAGAGGATGTGGAAAAAGCTTATGTACTCAATGCTTTTTTTGCCTCTGTTTTCACTAACAAGGTCAGCTCCCAGACTGCTGCGCTGGGCATCACAAAATGGGGAAGAGATGGCCAGCCCTCTGTGGAGATAGAGGTGGTTAGGGACTATTTAGAAAAGCTGGACATGCACAAGTCCATGGGGCCGGACGAGTTGCATCCGAGAGTGCTGAAGGAATTGGCGGCTGTGATTGCAGAGCCATTGGCCATTATCTTTGAAAACTCGTGGCGAACCGGGGAAGTCCCGGATGACTGGAAAAAGGCTAATGTAGTGCCAATCTTTAAAAAAGGGAAGAAGGAGGATCCTGGGAACTACAGGCCAGTCAGCCTCACCTCAGTCCCTGGAAAAATCATGGAGCAGGTCCTCAAAGAATCAATCCTGAAGCACTTGCATGAGAGGAAAGTGATCAAGAACAGCCAGCATGGATTCACCAAGGGAAGGTCATGCCTGACTAATCTAATCGCCTTTTATGATGAGATTACTGGTTCTGTGGATGAAGGGAAAGCAGTGGATGTATTGTTTCTTGACTTTAGCAAAGCTTTTGACACTGTCTCCCACAGTATTCTTGTCAGCAAGTTAAGGAAGTATGGGCTGGATGAATGCACTATAAGGTGGAGAGA